GGGGGGGGGGGGGGGTCGGAGGGTCAGAGGGTCAGATGGTCAGATGCAAGAGGAGTTTTTGGGTTTAGACTGGGCACAAAGTTTGGGGTTTAGCTCGGGGTTGAGTGAGGGAATGTGTAATTTCAGGGTGGGGAATCTAGCTTCCGAGCCAAGTGGCTGGAGTTTCTCTTTGATAGGGGGTTCAGAAGCCCGTGCCACGTTTCAAAAACAGAGCACCTTCATGAGCTGCGACTGAAACCTGGCCAAGTCCGGGATTTATATAAGTAGTTCAGTGTGTACACAAACAGCCCCATGAAACACACATGCACGCACAGTGGTATTTTTATATGTGTGTTTATTTGGGGGTGTTTCTATATAAAGGGGGGTATCTGGGGTGTTGTGTGGGGGAGTCCCTCTGAGGGACTGAAGAGGAAGGACATTGTAAACAAGTCAAAATTCCTCTGTGGTCTAAGAATAGAGCTTGCTTCATAAATCTGGAGATAGTGTGTCTCTCAACTCTTCTTATTGACCTTTCATGCATATTAAAGACGCATTTACATATGAACTCAAGAATATTTGATATCTGAACACTATGTTTTTGTATTTTTGACCAACCTGTTTGTCTACTTTTACAGCAAAGGCAGAGGGCCGCTCGTGCGAATACAATGGGCGGATTTATCAAAACGGCGAGAATTTCCGCGCTGGTTGCAAGCACCAGTGCACCTGCATCGATGGAGCGGTGGGCTGCGTGCCCCTTTGCCCCAGCCACGTGCCCTTGGCATCCCCTTCCTGTCCTGCTCCGCAGCTGGTCAAGGTGCCAGGCCAGTGCTGCCTCAGCATCGACTGCCACAAAGGAACCACCGTCGTGCCTCCAGTGCACCGCCGACCCCAGCCTCCAGTTTATCCGCCTTACCCCTTCATTCCCTATCCGGCCTACCCTTACCCAAAGCCCTATCCCAAACCTTACCGGAAGCTGTACCCCTATAAACCCAAAAAGGAGAAGGACACCCTGGGAAACGAGCTGGTGGAGGTGGGGCGCAAGTGGGACAAGCCACGTGGAAACAAGCACTTGGCGGGTAAGAGAGGGTGCCGCCATGTCGCCTCCAGAGTGCCGTCTGTTTCCTCTACGCAGTAAAGCATCATGTTTATGTTTTAGCCATTTTAGCCTCCTAACGCACAAACGGCTTCACTGTGAGCCTTTCACTCTGCATCTGTGCGTGTGTGTCAGCATTTATGTGAGGCTTGTTTTCCACTGGCTCCTTGCACACCAGAGGTGCTCTCTCTCTCTCTCTCTCTCTCTCTCTCAAACACAGCACATACCTCTGTCACCCAGCTTTCCCCTCGCTGTAATCACCCTCTCTATGCGTCAGTGTTGCCTGTTCAGTGAATGAGGCTAGTGTGCTTTGCATCTCTGGACCTCTCCTTCTCCCTCTCTCTCCCACTGGCCCTTTTCTCCCCCCAGCTTTACTGATCTCATTCTCTGACTTTCCATATTCTGCATCATCCATTGTCATTCCCCCTCACACGTCCTGTCTTTCATCTCCCCAGCCTGGAGGCAGGTGGGAGATCAGTGTGTGGTTCAGACTACTTCCTGGTCCCAGTGTTCTCGGAGCTGTGGGATGGGCGTCTCTTCTCGTGTTACCAATGACAATGCCCGGTGTAAGCTGATCAAGGAGACGCGCCTGTGCAACATTCGGCCCTGCAGCACCATGTCTATCCCTGTCAAGGTGAGGAATGTGTTTGGTGCTTTTAAGATTCTCATAAAGGGATGGATCGCAGTCCTTCCTCTAATGGCCCACAACCATGCAGTGCAGCCACCATGCTAAATAGATTCAGGAAAGGATTGCTTTCAAGGGGTCAGATTGGTATTAATATAATGGCATGTATATAGCCCCCACCCCTAAATCCTTCTGTAGCCAGAGTCCATTCTGTCTATTCGTGGTTGTGTTGCTGTGTGGGAAACTTCCCCCACAGGACAACGACGGAGCTGATTTAGACCATGTTTCCCCTGTGCAGCTTCATGCTTGGTTCAAGGTTGTCCCAGTCCAGTGTGTATCATTTAGGAGGATCTATTGGCATAAATCAGATATATTAATCAAAGATATGTTTTCATTAGAGTATAATCTACAGAATATAGGAATTGTTGTGTTTTCGTTTAGAATGAGACATCTACAGAGTGAGTGAGTCCTCTTCTGGCAGAGTCCGCCATGGTGAAACCAATGTTTCTACAGTAGCCCTGAACAGACAAACCATTCCCAGGTCCTCAAATAGAGACGCAAGCGGTGTTCAGTTAGTTGCAGTCTGAAACTTTACCGCTAGATGCCAATAAATCTTACACACTGGTCCTTTTAACAATTAGAAACTCTTATTCTCTTTCTGGCAGAGAGTTAGATGAGAGGATTGATATTGTCTATACAGTAAATATGAAGCTATATTGTTTGTATTATATTGCAACGTTTTATTTGGAGTTTATGTGCCGGACTATTTCCTGGTTGGGAACATTAACTTCATGGAGTCTCCGCTGGTTACCTGGCAACTGCTCGGATCCAATTAGCAGTCCGGCACGTACTATATTTTTGTCACGATCTCTGGTAGCTTTAAAAACGCAGTGATTGTACTTTACTTTACTGTCAACGTTGTCAAGAGCAGAATATGATATATAATGCAGGTCTTCTTTATAAATAACACAGCAAAGACATTATTTCATGCAGGCATAAATCCCAGAACTTTTCAGAGATGTGACAAAGGAAAAACTCTCCCCTCCTTTGTCAGTGGGGGCTGGGTTTGCAGCTCTCCCACACTGAACCTGTGACACTGTGGCTGTCAGCTGTGCTCAGTGGCTCTTTGCTAGCCTTCCATTCGCCCACTCTGTTGCTCTCTCACATTTCATATACAACACCCTCAGAAACATTCTGCCTCCCGCCACGAGCCACTCAGGAGGCTGATGGGTTGTTATGCACCTGTTTCTATGTGCTCTCCCAGTGTTTGCAGAGCAGCTGTGGGTGTTAATGTGCATCAGTGTCAAGCCTTAACTATTGTTGGCATGCTCCTCTCTCCGGCACTCATCTGTTGTTCTGACCTTTATTTTGTTTTTCCCTGTCTCTGTACTTAACTGGATTAGCTTTGTTATTCATGTCTCAGAGCTTGACTTATGAGTTATTTAATTTTGCTGTGTGGTATGGCAGTTCTGATTCCAAGCAAATAGCAATGTGATCCTATAAAGCTTCCTCTAGAAAGCAGTGTTTAACCTGCTCCACATGAGAGTCATCACAGCTGAACCAAAGAAAAGAAGTTTAGCCATGCTAGCTATGAGGCTCTAGGGATTGCAACGTTTGTTATCTGGTCAATCCTCTACTCCTGACTGAAAATATCTCTACCACTTCTTTTTGAGTCAACAAAATACTATTGGATGGATTTGCATGAAATTTGGTTCAGACCTTTATGTTCCACTCGAATTGCAATAACTTTGCTGATCCCTTAACATTTTATCTAGCACAATCACCAGGTCGATGTCCAATACTTTGGTTTATGACAAAAGACCTCCAAAACTAATGACAGTCACATCAGCCTCAGTAGTGCTTTCTGTTTAGTGATAATTATAAAATATTAGCATGCTAACACACTAAAGGCCTACCTGCTAAACATCATATGCATATTTGCCTTTTATGGTGAGCATGTTGACATGCCAACAGTGCTGTAGTCAAGACCACCATTGTCGAGTCCAAGACCAGGACTAGTCGTGACCGAGTCCAAAGAGGTTCGAGTCCAAATCCAAATAAGAGAGGCCAAGTCAAGACCGTTTTTGCCATTACCAATCAGATGCATTTTGATAACCGATATCAATGCCTGTTCGAGATGAATTTTCAATTAAACCAATAGGCCTACCGTTATCTGAACAAGCACTTCATCAATGGTTTTGTTTTAAAGGAAGGAATATTTGCTGAGACCAATAGTCCAGACAAGTCAGAGTGTAAATACCAACGAGTTCGATACAAGTTCGAGACAATAGAAAAAACGTCTTAAGTGCGGACTACAGCACTGTATGCTAACGTACAACCTCATAGAGCTGCTAGCATGGCTTTAGACTCTCTTATTAAACTTCTTTCACCGGAAAATTGACTGTCTTTCTCTTCTTTCTCCCTCCACAGAAAGGAAGGAAGTGCTCTCGTACCCATAAGGCCCCGGAGCCACACCGCCTGTCCTATGCCGGCTGCAGGAGCACTCGCCTGTACAGGCCCAACTACTGCGGTGTATGTAGGGATGGCCGTTGCTGCTCTCCCCGTCGTACACGTACCGCCAACGTGACCTTCGCCTGCCCTGATGGCGAACGCTTCAACAGGTCCGTGATGTTTATCCAGTCCTGCAAGTGTAGCGACGAGTGCAACCATCTCAACGAGGCTGCCATGCCTCCACAGCGATGGCTCTACGGAGACACACACAAGTTCATCGACTAGCAGTACCACCCCACCCCCCAACCTACATTCCCTCACAAAAAAAAGACAATATCTCCCCCATAGTGATCCCCATTATAGAATAGCTGTCCTTAGTGTATCTATGAGTAGACGCAAATGAGGTGCACACGTCAAAACATCTTTTCTGGAAGATTATTCGGGGAGCAATGGGGAATGAATCAGATGGGCGCGTCTCCAACTTGGAAAGTGCAAAGTGACCAGCCCCTGCTTTAGTGTAGATAAAACGTTGTGTCTGGCCTGGCCAGACTACTACAGATTGTAACAAAATCTTTATGGAAATCATGGATGCAACCAGCCACCATGTTGCTGCCATGCACCAAATGTCCCCTCGAACTCTGAGACTTTATTGGGGACACTGGAGTAAGAGCCGACACACACACACAGGTGTCGGTGTTCCTTTTGTTGATGGTGTGGATTCACATCACAGTTACTGAGCAACAGGTCTGACTAGGCAATAGAAAGCTGGTCTGACGTTGCTTTGGAGCCAAATACGAAACCAGCTGGAATCATATCGTCTGTACACTCCAATAACATTAGTATTGATAAACCAAAGGAAGACTCGTGGAGAAGACTTGACAGCAAAGACTGCGATCTTGATGGCAGAAGATGGAGGAGCATCTCAGATGTTCTTACAGGAGTGTGGTTGTGTCTTTTTATGGTATTTATTCACTGGTATTTATTGTTGAGACAGACATGATGACAGAGTGGCCTGCCACCAGGGAAGGCGGTGCTGCTATGTTTGGAAGCATTGGCGTGGCTGAACAGGGATCCGAGAAGGACAAAACAGCTGAGAGCTGTCAGCCAAGAGAGGGAGAGGAAGACTCCCACAGATCTGGGGCTTGACCCCAGGGTTGCATCAGAGGTCACGGCGGTCAGAAAGCCATATCTAATGATGGACGATGAAGGCTACAGGAGAAGAGGAGTTATGTACAGTTGAACCTGATGGGTTGAGGCTTTGTACGCATCAGGGAATACATCGAAGGTTGTTTACACAGCTGGACTCATCCCCTGCCTCGCCTCCACAAGAGACCGAGACATTTAGCAAGCACCAGAAGAACAAGCCTGGGATTCTGGCGCCAAGAAGTCAACCGCCTAATTCTGTGCAAATTACAATCCTGACTCTGAGGGGGCAGTGAGAGAAAATCAGCCACTCTCTTGTTTGCTATAAAAATAAAAATAAAAAAACTGCGGGTACTGATGTAAACATGTAATTTGTGACTGGCGGGTGGAACCGCTCTGGTGCCCGATCTGGCCTGTAATCGAGCAGCATGCCAGCTCGCTGAAACAAAACAATAAGTCACGCCTCTTCGTGTTTCAGTGGTGTCTGGGAAATGCTGTTGAAGGCCATGTTGTCAGTTGACATCACTGTTGGGGGCAGAGAAGAGCTTCACCGCAGCGCAGAGGAAGGGCTGCCAGACGTCAATAAGAACTCTAACGACATTTTGAAGGAGAGGAATTCGGTGTTATTCTACCATTTTCATGGCCAAAATCCTTTTATATGATTAAAGAACCCAAGCATCTTACTTGACTGGGACTTGGGTTAAAGTTCACGCACCTTACAACAGCCTTGATTCATGACCTGTTATGTCTTGCAAAGGGGGATTAAAAGGTCAATTCAAACTATCTTCAATGAATACACACTTTAAAATAAGTGATTTCTCAATGATCTGAATTTTATTATTTCAAAGATTTGTTTTCTCTTGTACCATAAAATAGTGGCTTAGTCGTGTTTTCAGTCTTCTGTTAAACTGGAAAATATTTGCATTTTCTACCGTCTCTTGTCTACAGCAGACTTTCTCAGTGGAGACTGCTGCCTGTAAGCCTAGGAAGTTTTTTAAATTTACAGGTGATTTAAAAAAAAAAGGGTTTTGGTAATTGTTTGCCATGTTGCCATTGCTATTTGCCTATGTAGACGCTGTGGTTTTGGTACTGTATGTCTAGTTTTGTTTAAGGACACTATAGAGCAGCTATGTACAGATGCATCGTTACCTTCTTTGTAGTTCTATCTGCTGTATAAGGGCCAATCCTTTCACCGAGTTATACTAGTCCATGTATAGTTTAGCACTGAACGAGGCAGGGTTCAGATCTTTTACGAGCATTAAGTGCCAATTTGAAAGCATGATGATTGTATCCCTACATTAACACCCTCTGTATTGATAGTCATGCTTTTTAAGATAACGTATTAAAAACAAACTTGTTCACAAACAGACTAAAAATCTATTTTCCATCTTCCTCACAACTAACTTCTTTTGGAAACTTGCTGCCCGACACACATTTGATTTTAAGAGATGGAACGAGTTCATATTGCATTTTTCAATAAAGAATTTTTCACTTCTACACTAAACTAAATGACAATACAGTGTTTTACTTGAACCAATGTTAAATTGTTGTTTGAATAGAAAATTGTCCAAAAGTCCCCTAAACAGGAAATCTGCTCAAAATGTATCCATATCAGTTTTTAATCTATAATACTAAATACAACCATAAAATGTCACTTATAGGTCATTAGTTTTTTAAATTATAGAAAAGGGATCCCTTATGAAACGCCTGATAAAGTTAAGAATACAGTGATGCTAAATCCTTTGAGACTCTACTTTGAGCTAAATGCAAATAGAATGATGTGTTAGCATGCTAACATTTGCCACTATGCACTGAACACACAGTATAGCTGAGGCCGACCGGAGTGTCAATTTAAACATTAAAAATGTACCCTCACGGTGGCATCAAAGGAATAGACTCATCCTCTGGGGACTATGCAGATCTGTACAACATTGCATGTCAGTTTATTAAAGATTTGTTGGGATATTCCCATTTGGACCAAAATGGTGGACAGACTGACAAAGACATGCTGCTAGTGTGGCTCAAAACCCATCAATGCCAAACTTCTCTGGCTGCTTGTTGTGGAAGTAGTCTTTAATAGGCACAACAATTTGAAATTTGTGTCAACTTAATTGTAGTTTTGTGCGATACATTTTTAACCTCAAAAGAAGACACTGTACAATAACAATAAAAATTGGCAAATTCACCACTAGGACTCCACTTGGTGACTTCATTTATTGGAGGCATTCACTTGGAAATTCAAAGAAAGAGCTGCCATATAGCCAGAATTGTTTAACTGAACAGTCACTACATGACTACTTGATTTTTTTTCGTAATGATCAACTCTTGCAGTTGGGGGGGGGGGGGGGGTT